TCCTTGAACTCACTCTGTAATCCAGGCTGGCCTCAAACTCCCAGAGATCCGCCTGCCTCTGCCTCCAGAGGGCATTAGATGCAAGCATTCTTGTCTTGAGTCTAAGCAAGCTGAAGGACAGGGTCCCACATGGCAGAGCCCAGCAGGGAGAGCTGCAGCTCCCCTGCTCTTTTTTTTTTTTTTTTTTAATTTTAAATAGCTTGTTTTACATGTCAATCCCAGTTCCCTCTCCCTCCCCTCCTCCCGCACCCCTCCCCATCCCCCCCATCCTCCCACCCTATTGCCAATTCCTTCCACATAGGGAATATCTAGAGTCTGTCATTTCACTCTGGGTAGGGTCCAGGCACTCCCCTAAGAGTTCAGGCTGAGAGAGCATCCCTCTTTGTGTTATGGACACACGATGTCTGTTAGTATTCGAGGGATAAACACTGATCCACTGCTCAGGACCCCATAGGTTGTCCAGGCCTCCTCACTGACTCTCACATTCAGGGGGTCTGGATCAGTCCCATGCTGGCCTCCCAGCTGTCGGTCTGGGGTCCAAGAGCTCTCCCCTGTTCAGATCAGCTGTCTCTGCTGGTTTTGCCAGCCCATTCTTTGCCAATTTGCTTATCATTCCTCTCTGTCGCTGGGTTCCTTGAGTTCAGTTCAGTGTTTAACTGTGGGTGTTTGCCTCTGCTTCCATCAGTCACTGGGTAAAGGCTCCAGGATGGTTATAGACATCAAGTTCATTATCAGGAATGGGCATTCAGGGTGGTCTCTACACTATTGCTTAGCTTGCCAATTGGTGTCATCCCTTTAGATCACTAGAGGTCACAAAGGTGCCTGATCTGTCTTCTAACCTATGATTCCCTCTTCCCCCTATTCTACCCCCCAGTCAATATGTGTTGCATATAGATTTGTTTTGTTAAAAGTTCTAGTACTGGCCGGGCGGTGGTGGCGCACGCCTTTAATCCCAGCACTCGGGAGGCAGAAGCAGGCAGATCTCTGTGAGTTCGAGGCTGGGCTGGACCGATAGCCTCCAAAACAACACAGAGAAACCCTGTCTCGTAAAAACCAAAAAAAAAAAAAAGTTCTAGTACTGAAGGCTCTAAAGCAATGAACTGTTGAGAAGCAGTTCATTGTTGGAGTTCTTTTTATGTACAATGTCCTGGATTTGACCCTGACATTGTAACAACAGTGAGGTAATTACATAAGGTTGGAAGGAGTTGAACACAGATTTTTAGTTCTGGTTTCCCCAAGTACAGGCAAAATTCTAGAGTTGAGCACATTTACTGTCTGCAACCCACATCTCCTCCTTTGTAAATAGAAATGAAACATGTCTTCATCAGTCTTTGCATTACTAAAACGGAGGCCCCACTTTGTTCTGTGTATCGAGCGCAAGCAGACATTTGTCATGCCACACAGGCATAGGACAACTTTGTGGAATCACTTCTCTCCTTTCACCCTTGCGTGGGTTCTAGGTGTCAAGCCCAGGTAGTCATCAGGTTTCCATGGCAAGTGCTTCACCCACTGAGCATCTTACTGGCCCTAAGACTTCACAGATGTGAGCTTTAAGAGCTTGCCCTGAACTCCATGTAAATAGTGAAAACTCACTCTTGTATCTCCTTTACATTAACTCCTGTGATGTTTGTTCTGCAGATTTTCCTATGATGGCAGGTGGAAGCAGAAGCTGCAAACATCTGTGGACTTCCCATTAGAAAATCTTGACTTGTCACAGTATGTTATTGGTCCAAAGAACAGTTTGAAGAAATATAACTTGTTTTCTGTTTCAGTAAGTATCTTGTTGAACTGAAGATGCTTTTAAAACAGGCAGCTCCAGCACGTCCTTACCTCATAGGAGAGTGAGAACAGCCAAGACTTGGAAATAACTAACTCGTGCTAAGTAATGATTTAGTTTCTGTTTTGTCTTGCTTGATACAGAACCACTACGGCGGGCTGGATGGAGGTCACTACACTGCCTATTGTAAAAATGCAGCAAGGCAGCGCTGGTTTAAGTTTGATGATCATGAAGTTTCTGATATCTCCGTGTCTTCTGTGAAGTCATCAGCAGCTTATATCCTCTTTTATACTTCAGTGGGACCACGCGTAACTGATGTAGCCACATAGAGGTGTAGTTTATGGGTGTGTTGATGTTTCAAATCGCAGAGGCGCATCTCCTAATGCTTACAAAGATAATGGATCGCTGCAACTGGCTATGTAGAGGAATTTCAGAATACTGGGGGCTGTTATTAGCGCCATATAATCAGGTCAGTGCTGTTTATCAAAAAAAAATCTGACATTTAACAAGTATTATAGCAAGCATCCCTTACAGGTATTTATTTCAAAACAACTTTTTTAGTCTGCCCCAAAGTTAAAAATAATTCATTAGCCAGACATTTATTATTCTATTGGTATCAAACCATTGTAACCCTCATTTTCCTGTTCACTGCTATAGCCTTTTCTCATTTTCAGTCCCAGCTTGATCCACTGTGGATGCTCTAGAATATCTAACGCAGATAGGAATGTATCTGTACATACTTACCGTACTCTTGCACATCAGACCGCTGTACACAGTTTAACATGTTCTGTGAAAAGCCTAGAGGGAGTCTTTGTCTTGTTCTTTTGGCCTTTTCTAGGTAGCTGCAGTGCTTTCTTGGGGAAATGACAGGGCAAAACTATTTTTCTGTTGGCTTTGGGCTGTCTTTGTGCACTAAATCTTTATTCTAAAAAAATGGAAACTTTAATTTTTTAAAAAGAATTCATTTACATCTACATTAAAATCTTAATGAAAAAAATCATCTGAAACCTTGTAAGTGTTCTGTCTTTCATCTCCTTCCCCCGCCCTCCCTTTTTTTGAGGTAGGGTCTCGTTATGTAGCTCTGGCTGTCGGGAACTCAACAGCTGTCCTTGAACTCACAGAGGTCCACCTGCCTCGTAAGTGTTTTTACACATACTTTACTCACCATGTGGATTTCTGGCTTAGTTCTTCTGTAGAACTAGGACTCAGTTTCCCCCCTCACATGTGATACCCAGACTTGAAAAGCTGCAAGTCCGATACAATAGCCCCCAGACTCCTGTGACAGCTCTGAAGAGTTAGGGTAAGGAAGGTAAAGAGTGCTGAGTCGGTGCGCTGTGAAGAGAACTAAGAAGCACGCCACGCTGCCCTCCAGAGCACTCAGCCAAGAGCCCTGACCTTCCTCGGGGCAGCAGCCAGAAGCTACACAAAGGTTGCTTGGTTTTTTGAGAATTTCATACAGTACTATGTTTACATCATTTCCATCCATCCTCTTAATTCCTCTCATGTTCCCCAAGTCTTTCAAATTCATTACCTCTTAAGTCTTTCCCCCCCACCCCACCCCACCCCCGTCCCTCCCTTTCTCTCACACACACACGCACCCCTTGCTGAATCCTTTTAGTGTTGCTCGTGTTTTTAGAGCTAACCACTGAAGATTAAATGTCAGGATTCTCATCCCTGGAGAAGACTGATTCTTCCTGTGCCGTCCCTACACCCTCTCCCCCCACCCCCCCTCCAGACAGGATATCTCTGTGTAACAGCCTTAGCTATCCTGGAACTCTGTAGACCAGGTTGTCCTTAACTCAGGGATCTGCCCGAGTCTGCCTTCTGAGTACGCCTATTCTTCCATACTTAAGTAGCCTTTGACTGCCTGTAGCTCTTCATCTAGGGGTGGGACTTTGTGAGATGATCTCCATCTATGCTGGCATATCAACTGTTAGAGTCACTGTGCAAGTCTATTTTTGAGATTTTAGGGTCATACACACAAGACACTATCTCATAGCAGATGCCTGCCCCTCCTCCTGGATGTTCCCTGAGCCTGGGATATAATGGTTGTGTTGTAAATGTGTCTTCTGGGGCCAAACACCACGTGGTCACTTGTTCTCTGCATTTTGATTGGTCATGGCTGTCTGTGACAGTCTCCATCCGTTGCAGAGAGCTGCTTTGATGGGGTAGAGACTACACTTACCTCTGTGGCTAGGTGTTCAGAGGGAAGCTGGGAATTACACTGGCAGCAGGAGGGTCTCCTCCAGGGTCCATCACCTAACCAGTTATGGGTAGTTGACTCAGTTTACCAGGCATGGATTCCCTCCTCTTGAACGGTTTAAGTTCACTTAGTCCAACTAAACAGTTGTTGGTTATCCCCAAGATATAACGGCCACCATTGCACCTATTAGACCTCTTGCCTTATTGGTCATTGTGGTGTACAGGTGTCATATCTGACTGTGATTATCGATTGTTTTCCTCCCTTGGCAGAGTTCATAGCATGTTGGGATATATGAGACCTAGTCCTCAAGTGCAGGCTTCCAGGTCTGGTCCAGCTCGGTTCCTTCAGGTTCCGTATCTAAAGTGTGTGGTGTCCTCAGCAGTAGGGGCTTAACCTTCAGGTTCTGGAAGACAACTAAGGGTAGTACAGTAGTCCATATTGTTTTAGGATCTCTTCTAAACAAAGATGCTAAAGGTGTTTTGGGAAGTGGTTATTTAAGCTTACAGGTTATTTAGCTAGAACATGGTTTTCAAGTCATAAGATTTTTGTTTTATATGTATTGGTATTTTGCCTCTGTGTGTGTGTGTGTGTGTGTGTGTGTGTGTGTGTGTGTGTGTGTAGTACACCTTATAGGTGCTAAGAACTGAGTCTGGGTCCTCTGCAACAGCAAGGGCTCATCACCTCTGGGCCATCTTCAGCCCCATGGGTCACATTTGCACTTAACTCTTCCCCTGTGCTAGCGATCAAATTTGAGACCTCACATGCTGAGGAAACAGCCTACCACTGAGCTATACACTCACGTGTGTAAACAAAAATCATCTGTGTTGGGCTGGATAGATGGCTCAGTAAGGATCTGAGTTCAATTCCCAGAACCACATAGTAGAAAAGAGAATGAACTCCCACAGGTTACCCTCTGACTGCCATGTGCATACAGATAGATACTAAATAAGTATAAAAATTTTGGAAAATAACTTGGTACTTACAAGTATGAAATATTATGATAGAAACGCACCTCATGAAACATTGACCTTTGAACCCTGCAGTTTTAGGCCCCTATGATGGCAGTGTGTGGCCTCCTTCCCTCCTGCCCTGAGTGAGGCTGTCTGTGAGACTTAGAAACCTTAGCGATGTGACTAAGTGGGAAGGGTTTAATGACAAGGCACACTTCATTGCATTTTCTGACGGCTTCTTTGCAGTGATCAGGAACACTCCTAGCTCTTGGATTTCTGTGTCGGAATAGAAAAGGGCTGGCAGCTGTAGAACAGAAGATATGCTGTAGCCGTTTGAACTGAAGTATCTGGAATCTCACTGACTCGGGTGTCATCAAAACTATACCAGGCCTGAGTTACTGAGTTCTTGCAGAAGGCAGTGTAGTGGCCACCATCCAGATCGCCAAAGTGGTTCTAGGAAAGAAAGGGTGTAAGACATAGTTTCGACATGCAAATGCTCTGGTGGCATAAAAATGACAAAGCCAAAACACCTTTTAAATTGTCTGTCTCTTATACTTTGTCAAGTCTTACAGAAAGTCTGACTTGGAATTGCTTGTATATTGTACTAATTGACTTTAACAGAATTATAAAGTCAGTATATATAAGGTTTTAAAATTTGGAGATACTGTTTGTGTATGGGTATCTAGCCTGCATATATATTATACATGCATAATGCCCAGTGTCCATGGAGGCCTAAGAGCATTGAATCCCTGGAACTGGAGTTACAAATGGTTGTGATCCCCCATGTATGTGTTGAGAACTGAACCCTGGACTCGGTGTCTCAATGCTGCAACAGTAAAACAGTAGCCGGCGAAAGAAACTATGACTGCCAAAGCCTAAAATACATTCTAGCTGGCTTTTTACAAAGTTTGCTGACCCATCATATAAAGAAAGAAAATACAGCAAATGATATGCTTAGACACACTTCCACCTTGCAAGCCCTAACCTTGCATCTGTGAACAGCATGGAAGACGACTTAATAAGTCCTAAGCCAGTTGTAGTTCATACCTGTCATCCTCGGATCCTGTAAAACCATTAGTACTAGGCATGGCTGAAATCCCAACACAGGAGGCTGAGGCCCTCCCCAAGTTCAAAGTTTGGATCATACAGCTTTTTTATTTTAATACGTGTTTCTCTGCATGTATATCTCTGGACCATGTGTGTGCTGGTGTATGCAGAGGCCAGAGGAAAGTTTTGGGTCCCTGGAACTGGAGTCACAGATGGTTTTGAGCTGCCATGTGGGTGCTAGGAACCAAACCCAGGTCCTCTGCAAGAGCAGCAAGTGTTCTTAACCACTGAGCCTTCGCTCCAGCCCCTTTCAGCCTTTAGATTCCTTGTGCACTACAGAACCAGCACAAAGGAGATAAAAACCAGCTTATGTTTCCTTAATCTCCATCTTGTCTCTTTTCATGTCATTAAAAATGGAGGAAGCAGATTGAAGAGCAGAATGAGGTGGATGGTAACCAGAGCATTTGAACCGTGAAGTCACCCAGGGGACCTGGAGAGCTGGGCTTAGGTTCCAGAAAGCAAGCTGGACTGAGGTCGCCATACCTCAATGGAAGACACTTGCCACCAAGCCTGATGGCCTGAGCTAGGTATCTAGAACACACATGGTTTGAGGACTGACCCCTGCAGGCTGTCCTGTGACCTCCACACATGCATACATGGTGGCTGAAATCCCAGCACAGGAAGCTGAGGGCAGGAGATCATGAGGTGTAAACCAAAGATATCCGGGTATGGTGGATATCTTGTAATCCCAGTACTTGGGGTATGGCTCAAGACCTGCCTGGGCTACAAGAGCATCTGTTTATAAATAAACAAATATTTATTTATCTGGTTTTTTTGAGATAGTTTCTCTGTGTATCATGACTGTCTGGAACTCACTCTGTAGACCAGGGTGTCCTCGAACTCACAGAGATCCACCTGCCCCTGCCTCCCAAGTACTGGGATTAAAGGCGTGTGCCACCACTGCCCAGCATTGGTTAAATATTTTAAGAACTGGGTAATAACAAGCAAGGAGAATGAGTGAGCCAGAACATGATGTATTGGTGGAACAAATGACAATCACACTGGAGATCAGGTTGACGATTCTTCAGGGTTAAGTATACAGTTAGCACATGTCTAGCAATTCCCTCTTAGGTATATACCTAAGAGAAATTAAACTGTCCACACACAACCCTGTGTGTGACATCAATGGTAATGGTCATAAAGTAGACCCATCCCAAGTACCTCTCAGTGAATGACTGGAATGTGACATGTTTACATAATATAATGTTATTTGGCAATAAAACAAAAGTACATGCTACAACCCAGGGAAACCTTTAAAAGCATGCTGAGAATGCTCAAGCCTTTAATCTACTCCAGAGGCAGAGGGTCTTAAGGCCAGCCTGCTCTACAGAGTAAGTTCCAGGCTGACCAAAGCTACATTATCAACATTCTGTCTTAGAAACAAAACCCAAGATAAGGCAGTTTTATGATTCCATTTGTGTGGTGTGCCTAAGATGGTACACCAGTAGAAGAAACAAGAAGTCCCTGGGTTGTTGCCAGGGCCTGATGTGGAGAAGAAATGAGTAGTGAAGGTTCTTTTAGGAATACTGGAAATGTTCTAAAACGTAATTGTTCTGATGTACAAGTATGTAAATGTACAGCAAAATCCCTGAACTGTACACACCTAAGTGAAGTTTACAGTTATCCAAATAAATATTTTTAAGTCTGCAAGACAAAGAGATAGTTTATAACCAGCCAAAAATTGAGTGTATTTGTTGAATACAGGCACACACCCACACACTAACATCTGGAGCAGTGCCACCCATTGACCCACATGTGAAGACCGTGTCCCCAAAGTGGAAGGTGGTAGAACCTTTAGAGATGTGGACTTAGGAGAAGGCCTTGGGTCAATGGGTGTGTGTCCCATCTCAAGATGTGCGTCGTTGCCCTGATAGGCCCCTGCTAAGGCATGATGGGAAGATAAGTAAATAACTGCAATGCAGTAAGATTTGGGTTTTCCCAGATGCCAACCTAGAGATGCATACATGCCAGGCAAGCAGTCTCCCACTGAGCTTTATGGCCTCGGACCTTTAATGCAATAAGAAACACACAGGCAATGTGATCGAAAAACAGGCAAAAGACTTAAGACTTGTTTTCACACACAGAAACAAAACTCAGTGGAGCACACTAGTACACCTGAAATCCCAGCGCCCAGGAAGCAAGTTCAAGGCCATCCCATCCATTGTGAAAGTGCAAGGACAGACTAGTTCAAACGCTGTCCCACCATGCAAGCATCTAGAAGATCCCTACAGAAAGCTACCGAGTATAACAGGGACCTATGGCCACCACACTTCCTGGTGCTGCTGCTAAGGTGTGAACTGGAGAAACTCCTTAGAAATGCCACCGGGCTGACTTTACCAATGCTGGCGTATGCATACCCACCCACCGGGCTGACTTTACCAATGCTGGCGTATGCATACCCACCCACCGGGCTGATTTTACCAATGCTGGCATATGCATACCCACCCACCAGGCTGATTTTACCAATGCTGGCGTATGCATACCCACCCACCGGGCTGACTTTACCAATGCTGGCGTATGCATACCCACCCACCAGGCTGACTTTACCAATGCTGGCATATGCATGCCCACCCACCAGGACCGCACTCCTACAAACAGATTCCAAAGTCCGTGTGTATCTGTTCACCAGAACACGCACGAGTGACTATAGCAATACTCAGAAGTAATGGTCTAAAGTACACCAAATGAGTAGGTTATGGTGTCTTACACAGTGGACCCTGTCCAGTGATAGAAAGAACTCTAATGTGTAGCAGTGTGGATAACTGTTACAGAATTTAAGCCAAAGGACCAGATCCTAATGAGGACATAGCGCAGGATGCATTTGTCTAAAGCACCAAAGCAGAGTTACTGGGTTAGAGGCGTGGCCTCTGCACCTGAAGGAGGGTAAGGGCAGTTACACACTGATGGGGATGTCTGAGTCCTGGGTTTGTTTTATTTTTTGTATTATGCTTGCTTGTATTTTGAGACAGGGTTTCTCTTCATAGTCCTGTCTGTTCTGGTACTCACTCTATAGACCAGGCTAGCCTTGAACTCGAGAAATCCTCCTGCCTCTGCCTCCCGAGTGCTGGGATTAAAGGCATGCGCCATCACTGCCCAGCATGAGCCCTGTTCTTAATGCATGGATGTGCTCACTGGACTACTCACCAAATTGTATACTCAGATTTTCTGTGTTTTCCTTTAAAAACAATGTTTTTTGAAGGCAGGGTCTAATGTAGCCCAGGCTAACCTCAAGCTTATACAGATGAAGATAACCTTGACCTTCTGGTCCTGCCTCTACCTCCTGAGTGCTTAGATTATAGGTATACACCACCAGTGGCCGTTTATGGTGCTGTAGATTGAAACTGTGTTGATACTTTGTGCTATAACAAAGCTTGCCTGAAGATCAGAGTGCAGAGCTAGCCACACTAGTTAACCGTAGAGGTCAAGCAGTAGTGGCACACACCTTTAGTCTCAGCACTCAGGAGACAGGCAGACGATCTCTGTTCAAGGCCACCCTGGGCTACATGAAATTCATCCAGTCTAAAAGAAGCAGAGCTCACACAGTTAATCCCAGCACTTGGGATCACACACCTTTAATCCCAACACTAGGGAGGTGGAGACAGGAGTGGAGAGAGGAATTTAAGGCGGGAGGAGAGAGGATCCTGTCTGAGGACAGGATCGGCCAGCCCTTTACTTCTCTGACCTTCAAGCATTTACCCCCATATCTGACTCCAGGTTTCTATTAAGACCTATTAGAGCGCGTGCGACAGAAACCAAGGCTTTGTGGATCCTGGGCAAGCTCTCTGTCAAGTCACATCCCTAGCCCTCCAGTTTGTTTGCATAGAAACAAGACTTTCTACAGGGTGGCTTAACAGAAACCCCACAGAGTCAAGCAACAAGTAGAACTGCACTGTGAGGCGAGTTACTGAGGGAGGACACTGGACGTCGGCAGCAGAAAAGCAAACTTAGGCCCAGAGATCTGGGGACAGCAGCACAGTGGCATAAGTGATATATCCACCCTGGCTACCCCAGCCCTGTAGCAGTGACAAATTTATTGCAGGGTGAGGGTGAGAGACTGCCCACTCCATCAGCCATGTGGATTATGGTGAATCTGGCTAGTGGAAAGCCTGGCAGCCCGCACAGACTTGCAACTTTAACTAGATAACTAATCTGATCCACATCCTCACAAGTAGCCTGACTTTGGAAACCATTTCTCATCATCTCCCTGCCAGTCTTCAGGGTGCTGTAGCCGGGAACCATCTGGATAAGGGGCCGGTTGTCTAAATGGGAATCCAGTGTACTGTGACTGTCTGAAGGGTTAGGAAAGACACGCTCTCTTGATGCTTTCCTTCTTCAGTCTTCTATAT